GATTACGGATTTCGAAACATATTGGAAGGCGACAAGCCAATTCGACCGCAGTCCAAGCACGTTTGTGACTGGTTCGAGTTTGTCAGGCGACTTTGTCCAACTCTTCGTTCAGCACACCAGCGATGGTGTTCCAGTCTTGTGGCCGAGATGGACGATACCATGTGGTGGAATTGACCTGCCCATCTCAAGATTGACAATGGAGCAGTTCAATACGATTACGTCAAAGAGCCCTAGCAGAGCCGAACTGGCATCATTACCAACGAGGCCTCTGGACGCAATTGCGGACGTCCATCGGGTTCTTGCGACAGCGGGTATCCCTCTAAACGAGGCGCTGGCTCTGCTCCCGCATGGCATGCATGTCAACATCCAGATTCTGTACCCGTCACTGGACGAGGAGAGGTCACTGGGGTTGGGCCCATCACTGGATCTGAACACATTCGTCGACTCTCTTCTCACCATTGTGTTTGATCACGCCCGCGCTCAGCGAGCTCAGTCGCTCGAGTCGGTTCGTTCTGTGGTGTTCAGTTCATATAACCCGAGCATGTGCACAGCACTCAACTGGAAGCAGCCAAACTTCCCCGTGTTCCTGTGCAACGATCTGGGACGGGAGGATGTCATGGCGCCGCCAGACATCATTCAGAGCCACGGCAGAAGATCTGCTTCAATCAAGGAGGTGGTCCGGGTTGCGCAGGGCAACAACTTCATGGGCTTAATTTGCTGCTCACGGCTTTTGGTACGTTTGAGCCTTTGTGTGGATAGCTGTGATATTCTTACTGACCGTACAACAGGAAATGGTCCCCGCCTTGGTGGACGCCATCAAGTCGCACGGTCTTGCGCTGGTCACAGACAAGTCACTGGATCCGTCGTCAACAAATTCTCTGACCGATCCGTTCCCGCGACTGCCCAAGGGAGTGGACGGTGTCCTGAAAAGTCACGGCGTCTTGCGCTTCAACGAATCCTTAGATGTGTAGTAGATTGGTATAATTACGTGTCAGCAAAAGTTAATAGACTTGTGTGTGCACCTTTTTCAATCTCGATTTGTGGTAGCCCGACCATTGGACATTCCTTTCTCGCGCTCGCTGCATGATAGTTGCGTCGTCATTCCAGCATAAGTCGTAAAGTTAACTCCTTCCGTCCCGTGGTATTCGTAGTAAAACAAAAGAACAATACACATCCCACCGCCACGTAGCTATTTTTGTTTATGTCATGGGCCTTACGCGCCCTTGAACCCGTATTTGAGCGCGGCCAACTCCTTTTCCGGATCGACGCTGCCCATGACCACCTTTGCGACCAGAACGACGATGTACACTATAGCGGGCAAGTTCCCCAACCCCACGTGGCCAAACGAAGCCTTCTCGGTCGACTTCGTCGCCAAGCCCGCCAGGATGAGCATACCGCAGAGCCCGAGGTTGAGGTACGGCAGATACAGCTCCAGGGGCCCCTTTTGCTCCTCAGCGAAAGAGAAGGAGCTCCGCCTGCGTCTCCTCTGCGTCGTTTGGATGGGCTGGTAGGACGACGGACCGCCAGAGACGGATGAGGTCGAGGACTCGAGCGAGGAGGCCGGGCTGGGGCGCGGGGTCTTTGGTCGGGACCAGGCGTCGAGCCAGGGGATTCCTGTCGCGCCTGGGGGTTGGGTGTGGAGGAGGTAGGCGGTCGAGAGGAGGGATGTCAAAGAGAGGAGGGAGGTGAGCGGGGCGGAGAGGCGGGCTAGGTTGAAGAGGTAGGGGACCGTTGTGAGGAGGGGGAGAGCGAGGAGGGCGGTTGCGAATTGGGCGTTGCGGGCTGCGTTGTCTTCTGCGAGGCGGCGGATGAGGGTTTCTTGTTCTGCGTTTGGGGGTTTGTGTTAGAGTTTGATGTAAGAGGTAAAAAGAACAGGGTGGGATGGGAGGATTGGGAGTGAGGCTTTTGAGTGTGTTATTTTTGTGTCGTACCCTCTTCGTCCATAGCTTCTGGCTGTGAGTCTGCCGAGTCGTCGTCTGTGGGATAGTGGAATGTACGCCGCAGACGAGCGGCCGCGCCTCGAGGTTCTGCCATTTTGGAGGTGGTTTTCAGATGCGCGATGGGTTATAGCGGGGGTTGCTGGTGTTTTGTATTGATGTCGTAGCTAGTAGAGGCGTAAACGCCTGGTCTACGTGTTGACGAGTCCAGTCGATGAAGACAGATTTGTAGAAGCCTAGGTAGGTGGGCTACCTCAGGTAAAGGTGTTGAAAGGTGTAGATGGAGCTTACCTCTTGCAGAGGGGGCCGGCCGTGACCGACCACTCAGCCTTATGACGCGCGACAGCTGGACAATGTGCGACAGGGGTCCTAGATCTGGGGTTTGATTGGTTACTGTTTATCGATTGCTTTTTTTCTTTCCTCCCCAAACGCCCGCGCCAGGACCCCGGGAATTTTCCTAGAGAGAGCTTTGGCCCGCCCACCGAGAGTCGAGACCGACCGACCGAACTGACCGAACTTGCATGGTCTGATTCGGAGCATCCCGAGAATTTGACCTACCTTAGACCAAACGCCCCGGCATCACGAAATCCGAACCGACATCACCCACCTACGCGGCAGCCCCGATTCCACTCAAAGGACGCTTTCGTTTCCACCGGGGAGTTTTTACTTTCCAGCATGTTCTCAAACACAGTCACCAGGAGGTTCGCCTCCTCGCTGCGCAGTGCCGCCGCGAGGCAACGGCAGCAGCCGCAGCAGCTCAGAGCGCAGGCTCAAAGAAGATGGGCGACCGCAGCGCCGAAGCCCGGGTCAGGACCGCTGATGGAGCGGCGCGCAGACCGAGAACTCCCAGGTAAGCTGCTCGTCTCCCCCCCCTCTCTCTCTTCCCATGGTCCATCCACTGACCACAAAAACAGACCTCAACCAAATCACCTTCCGCTGGTCCCGCACCCTCCCCCTCTTCGCCGCCGCCATCGCCCTCAGCAGCATCGCAATCTTCAACTACCAAAAGTCCTCCTCCCCCGTCATCGCCTCGACCCTCTACGCGCTCCGCACCTCCCCGAAAGCCCGCGAGTACCTCGGCGACGAGGTGCAGTTCAAGCACCAGATCCCCTGGATCGCCGGCGAGATGAATCAGCTCCACGGCCGCATCGACATCAGCTTCAGCGTCAAGGGTTCCCGCAACGAGGCCGTCATGAAGTTCGCCAGCTACCGGACGTCGCACAAGGGGTTGTTTGAGACGACCGAGTGGAGCTTGGAGACGCCCGACGGGCGCAAGATTGATTTGCTCGACGGGGCGGACCCGTTCAAGGGTTCTATTCCGGGGGATGACTTGAGTGATGATGATCTCGAGGCTGTGGTGTCGGCGGCGGAGACGAGGGGATTCAGGCAGAACATTAAATGAGAAGAGACATGGAAGGCCCGTTGAATATACGGCAGCCCTACGGTCAGTTCAAGGTTTCTTGAGGGGAATCATCATCAAAAGCATGCATGGGGCCAAGGTAGCTCAAGTCATTGGGTTGAAATTCGGGTCGGGCGAGATAATGACCCTAAAGCTATGCGCCTCTCTTAAGGGGGTGATAAATGTACAACATGTATAGTACACAGACTTTCGTAAAAAACAGTGGGGGAAAATGGGGGGTGGATGATATCTATACAAGTGCCGGGAGCTCTTTCCTCTCCTTCTTCAGCACCAAGTGCCTCTCTCTGGCCTCCTGCAATCTAGCCTCGCCGTCCACGTTGGCCTCCAACAGCTCCTTCAACTTGTCCTGCCTGTAAGGAAGCGCCGGCGCCTTCCTCTTGACGGCGTCCTGCAGCTTGACGATGCAGTTCTTGGGGCCCGCGACGGCGCCCTTGACGAGCACGACGCCCAGCTCATTGTCCACCTTGAGCACCGTCAGGTTCTGCACCGTGACGCGCTCGTTACCCATGCGACCGGGCATCTTCTTGCCAGGCATGACTCTGGAACCGGAACCCTGCGAGGGACCGGTGGTACCGATGGTGCGGTGGTTGAGCGAGTTACCGTGGGACGCCTCCTGACCCGCGAAGCCGTGGCGCTTCATACCACCGGCGAAGCCCATGCCGCGGCTGTTGGAGCGGACGTCGACGTACTGGCCCGTCTGGAACCAGTCCGGGAACAGCTGGGCGCCGACGGGTAGCAGGCCCTCCTTGGTGCGGACCTTGAACTCGGCCAGGTGGCGCTTGGGCGCGATGCCCTTGGCCTCGTAATAGCCCAGCATCGGCCTCTCGACGTTGCGCGGCTCCTTGGAGCCGGAGCCGATCTGGACGGCCCAGTAGCCGTTGTCCGGGCGGGTCTTGTTGGCGACGACTTGAACCTGGTCGAGCTGGAGGACGGTGCAGGGGACGCGCTTCTTGCCGTAGTAGACGGCCGTCATGCCCTTCTTGACGGCGAGGACGCCGGTGCGGAGAGGCGTCGTCTTCTCGCGGCGGGCGAGGGCGGCGGCGGGACCGGTGGTGAGGACGGGGAGGCCAGCGGTGGGCTGGTTGAAACGGGTGGGCTTGCTGCGTTTGGGCGCCGTGGACCAGCCGTACTTTACGCCGCGCTTCGCGGTAAAAGGGAGGAGCTGGAGGCGTGGGGCGATGACGGCCGAGGCATTGGCGGCGGCGGAGCAGGTGTTTGATATCGTCGTCGTCGTCGTGGTCGATCGGAGGAGCTGGAGGCAGCTCGGGGGTAGTCGGGGCGCCATGGTGGATGGCCGGGGGGTGGGATTGAGGGCGGATTGAGGTGGTCTGGTGTGAGGTCGGCGATGGAATTTTTTGGAGTTGAGGTCGGATCTGAGTGCCTGGGGTGGAAATCTTGAAGTGGCCCGTGCACCTCCTTGAATTGAAATGGTCACTGAGCTTCGCGGGAGCTCATGCCAGGGTCTTTTCTCACTTTTTCAAAGAATAACTATGCGATCAATCAGAATACTCAAGTAAACAATCGTTTTTCTTTATTTGATTGACAAACATCTGAAGCGCAAAGATCCACTATATTCCAACCAAACTTATTCTCTATATCAAGGGCACTACATTTGGCTGAGATGGATAAAACACCCATCATCCATGCTTACAGACATCTCTACCGTGAGCTCCTACGAGCGGTCCAATTCGCACCGCCGCACAGGTACACCGTCCGCAACCAGCTGAGAGCGTCGTTTCGCGATAAAGACGCGGTGTGGGACCCGGAGGTTTCCAAGAGAACACTCTGGTTCATACAGGCGGCTCGCAAAGAGGCCGGTATCGAGCACAAGGTTCTCAAGAACCTCGTCCGCGTGGCGTGGGAGAGGCAGAATATGGATACGTGGAAGGTCAGCTTTCGCAAAGACTCGGAATCTCGGGGCAAGGACGTGTGAGTGGTTTTTTTTTTTCCTCTTGGTTTTTTTTTCTTTCTTTTCGGGTGCGAGAGATTCGGTTGCTGACGTTGAATCATTTAGCATCCAAGAGGCCAACAACATGAAGGCTACAGTATACAATCACTATGACATGACGATAAACATGCTGAATAAGTCGATGGGTATTCGACTGAGATGATGATCTCGGGCAAGTCACAGTATTCTTGGTCGAATAGTTACTCGCACGCCCGCACTCGTTGTCATCGATGATTGCAGTTTTACTCATTCCTGAGGCTTTCAGACGGACGGCTCCATCTCACTGGAAGCGCAGGCATTGATGGAGACATCTCCGGCCCAGGTTTGAGTAACTGACCCATCTCAGCACGCCCAGGCGGGATCATCAGCCCAGATACCATGCATAGAGGCTTGTTGTGGTGCCAGGGTGGAAAGGCGGCAGTTAGAGGACGGAACGGACCATGATAAGCCCGAGACGTCGCGATGCAGTACCTATTCGCATATCCGAGGATAAGCCATTGGAGGAAACTGTCGTTGGGAAGAGAAACGATCGCTGGTGCGACCTTTGCCAGGCGGGCGATCTGCAGATGCGCGGGGTCAGCAAGTGAAACGGCTCACCTGTGGTTGGCTAGCACGTTTGGCTACGTGAGGGTTGGAGCAGCCGTCTAAGCTGTTGATGGTTGCATGGTCGATAATTTGCTGGCGAAGCGCTGCTGGCGCCCGCTTCTATGTTGCTTCTTGCTGTTCATGAGCTCATGATTCTTCGCCTCTTGCGGAACGCTGCTTCAGTTTCCCCGAATGAGGCCAGAGATCTTGAGACAGTGTCACTCAACGGAGAAAACCGTCGTAAGGTTAATGGGGGCATATGGTTAGGGACTTAGATGGCTGGACCTCAGGGGAAATGACGTTTTGTCGTACATGGCGGGCGTTCTGCCCCAAAGGTTGAGAGGTAAGCGAGAAGTGAGGTGCCCAATCTTCAAGGACTGAGCTGAGGGTTGAGGGGGAAGAGTTGAGGCGAACCCCCGTGTACACCCCCCCGTGTCGGAGCCAAGAGTCTCGGCCGCCAGGGCGGTGGTGGTCGGCCCTTTGCCGGTACGGGGAGATATATAAAAAGAGTGGTTCCCTTGAGAATCTGTTTTTGAATACCAAAAATACCCAATTCGGAAACAATATGGTTCGCCCCGTGAAACTGACCCGCTGTTGTCGTAAGGTGGTCGACCGAGTTGTCCGTCTGGATAAGTACGATGTGCCCAAAGCTCGGGTGAGAAAACACTCAGTGACACTCGAGATAGCCCACCAGGGAGACTGGGAGAGGCGTCACTGGCAGTCTGGCTTGTGACGGTGGATTCTTGAGATGGCAAGACTGGCCAATCTGGGCTGATTGGTGTTAGCGGCCGCTACCGAGAGGAACGAATGAGAAGCGCAGAATCGTTGGAGATCCAACGGGGCCCTGGTCCCGTTTCAGTGGACCCAGACACTAAGGTAAAGGTATCTTCTTCTGCTGCTGCTGCTGCTGCTGCGAAGTGAGGTGCGTGGGTGCGTCCTGGAGATACCAATCAGCAATGGTACGACTGGTCGCTCAGCGGGGCCAAGGGGGGGCCTCCCAGGTGCGGAAAGGATGCAGCTTTCCGCACCACGAACTGCCCTGGTCCTGCAGCTTGGGAATGGTTGTCGTTTTGAAGGTACCTCCTGATACAAACATCGCAGAGTCGGAACCTCTCCCGGTCACTGAAATTGAGGTAGGAAGGGGAGGATGAGGGGGGCCAGGTGCTGGACTGAGCTTGCCATGAGGTCAGGGAAAGGCAAGGTTGGGTGCTGTAGGTATTTAGTTGTGGTCGTAATCGTACCTTTAACGAAGTACTTAGCTGATGTGCCCCTACGAATACAAGAGTCTGTGATGCGGATGTATCTTTCTACGCCGTAGATTCCCACTGCCGACCCCGCAATCCGAGTTACCTCTGAAGTATCCGTAGTTCACGCCTACCTTACTTGCTCTTCGACGTTTCTTCCCTTCTTCTCTCTTTCATCTTAACCCGCAAATCTCTCATGGTTAGCGGGCACAACAGCGTCAATTCCCGGGGGTTCAGCTCTCGATTCCCCAGACTGCCTTAAGACAGCTCTTTTCACATCTCTGACCGCTCGACTCGTCATCAACATCATCGTCTCTGTTTCCCTTCTACTTCTCGCCGTCTATCCTCCAAACTTCGCGACCCCGTCACCTCATCACCCTGTTTGTCGCTCGTCCACACCACTGCAACTCCACCTGCTGCGCGGTCTGGATGGACCAAAACCCCAACTGGCAAAGGGCCGTATCACGACCGCGCTGAAGACCTTGATCTCTCCTCACGAGATCACCGTCTGAAGGCGCTGCCATACCGTCACTACTAGAAGCATGCCAGCGACAGAAGCCGAATATCACCAAATACACCATGTTCCGGCCCGTCAACCGACTGCGATCATGCCTCGAGCTCAGGAAGAGCGCCCGCAGAGGCTGGTCAAGCGCTACCGCACCGAGATCGCCGCCAGCACGTCGAGCATGTTCTCGACTGTCCTCGCCTTTCCCCTCGATAGCGTGAAAACGCGAATGCAGACCTACCGATACGAAGGCTTCCTCGATTGTGTGAGGCACACATACCGCACCGAGAAGTTGAGAGGCTTCTTTCGGGGTAAGGAGTCCCCCTTTCCCTCTGTCCCTCTTCCTCCACCTCCCTTGTACACGCGACCCCTCATCTCGCCTCAAGTCATGATCCCATTGACTAACCTTCTTTTGCCCCTCACCAGGCGTCCTTGCCCCAATGGCCAGTATCACACTCGTCCGAACCATGTCCTTTTCGATTTACCAACGCGCCAAACACAATTACTCGGGCTGGGTTAAGAACGCCCTGGGATTCGACGTGCTGCAACATGTGAATAAGAAAGGCACATATCCGAATTTGTACTCCATTGCCTGTTTTGGAGCCGCCGGCGCCACCGCCGGCTCATGCATCACGCTTCTCGCCTGCCCCTTTGAGCTGACCAAGCTCAGCGCGCAGGTGGCTGTCTTGTTGTCAGACCAGCAAAAGCTCAAGGAAGCAAATTGCCGCGCCACTAATGGACATCAGGTTGCAGCAAGCTACCAAAATAAGGGCACATTCAAGACCATGCGCAACATTGTTCGTCATAGGGGTGCTCTGGGGCTTTACACTGGCTTCAACTTGCACTTGTGTAAGTCTGCCCAGGCGTACAACCCCATCAAAACCCTCAGCTGACCATTCCAGTGCGAGATACTTTGGGTACGGCCATTTACTTCATGGTCTACGAGAGCGGAAAGCAGCTCGGAACTACGTTCGGTGGTGACCACCCAACAACTAACAAATTTGCGGTTGTCATCTCTGGGGGCATGTGCGGGATAGTATCCTGGGCGATGATATGTATGTGCTTCTGGTGCTAAAGAACCTCGGGCAAGTGACACTAATACTCTGGCAGACCCCATCGACTCGGCAAAGAGTATCTACCAGCGAAACTCTCTCTTGTACTCGAAAGGGCAACAGGTTGAGCCGCCGCCGAAGATTGAATTCTTCAAACGAAATATGTATCGCGGACTAGGGGTTTCGATGGGTCGCTCATGCGTCGTCAACGCCATCTTTTTCTCTGCCTTCGAATTCACGAAGAAGCATCTCAACTCCCTGGATGACAACTAAGAAATGATAATTTGCATGAACTATCTGCTAGCTGTGAATATCGCAGTTGAACAAGCGCATACATAATGGTCGATGGCGTTTTGGCTCAGTGGTTGATGTAAATCACTGAGCGTACTTGGGACAATGGAATGGAAGCAAGGACAGGAACCAAGTTGTAGTTTGGATTCGACTGCAATCAAATGACAGTTATTGAAAAAGAATTGCGATGCTCCATTTGATGACCTCAGGTCATCCAGTGTGTGGGATTCGACGGTTGTTCATGCCTTTAACATTGGCGCGCCTTATAAGCAAGTGAGGGTCTAGACGTATCCTCTCATAAAGTTTCGATTGAAACAACCTCGGCTTGCCCTTTTGGACCTCCCTTGCTCAGCCTCTTGACGATTCCTTCGTACCTACCTTACGGGCGCTTAATCTCGGTATATGGTTTTAGACAAGGTAGGCAATTAAGCATGCCTAAGTTCACGCACCTAGCTGAAGATCGGTGGGCCCGTGCATCAACACCCCGCCACTATCATCACGTGCAGATAGTACCTCACAGGAATCGGAGTTGCGACCCGACCTCTTTTGGGCCTTCCTGCGTCTGCGTCTTCAACGGGCACTACTTTGCCTCAACCAGCCCTGGCGTTTTCGTCGTGACTTGTGACCTTTTGCTTTCACGCATTTAGCATCCAAGCACCGCCGCCCGCGCGCCCTTATCCAAGTGCAACGAGCTCCTGCCGCACCTGTTTTTGAAGAGTCGCAGATTTCCGAGTCTCCGCCGACTGGAAATTGGAACTTTCCTTCTTGTCTACCGCTCTGCGTGAACACTGCTTTTACCGTTTCCTTCGCGCGCAGCAAGTACCTACTTGCTGACGTCGACGCCTTCGGGAAGAAGGTGCAACTTTGCGGACGCGCCTTCCTGGCCTGACGTACTTGACTTGGAACACCACTCCGTCTCCGTGTTGGCTCTGGTGCGAGACAAAGATTGTCATCCTTCTCACTAACTGTCGTTTTTCATCATCTTTTTTCTTTTCCCGAGGGGCAGCATTAGACGGCACTTGGTCTCCGAACCACCATGGTAAGCTGATAACAAAGGAGGATCATCAGACATGGGGAGAGAGAAGAAACCACACCCTGGCCCGGGTACCACGGCCAAGGACCGCCACCGTAAGGCTGGCAAGATCAATAAAGCCATTGATCGCAGCCAGCCGCTGCCGCCAGGACTCGTCGCCGCGAAGCCGGTCACTGTGGTCAACAACAGCAAACACCAGTCATATTTCGAGTTCATCGAGAACAAAGACAAGAAGAAGCCTCTGCTCTTCCAGGTATGCCGCGCCGAGGCGGTTCCCTCGTCACTTGCCGACCAACGGACTAACCAATACTGCGCCAGATTACAACAAATAAAACCCCGCCTCCTGGGATGAGGCATATCCCTCTTGGCAATCCTGAACTGACCGAGCGCTGCAAGGACATCTCGAGAGAGACGGGGGCCTCAGTCTACATTGTGGTAAGACGATGCCGAAAACTAATAGCCGCTGGAGACGATTATTGACCAGCTGTGATCTAGACCATGGCCAAGAATAACGCCTCGGACTTGAGCCAACAAATACACCGTGTCGGACACCATATTCGCGAGTATATCGTGGATAGGGCGCTAGAGGAATTAGGACTGGACAGTGTCAACGAGCCGGAACTCATAGGTCAAGGCGACGCTCAGGTTGAGAAGATTCCCGAGAAACAGAACGACATCGACAAGCAGGCAGACGCCGCCCTACGAGAGCTATTCCCTCGCATTCCGAATACGGATCGACAGCAAATCATCGATCATGCCTTTCAAAAGGTTTGTGATGCCGTGAGGTTTGTGGGTGAAATGGGTAGGTGCTAACGAATTGTTACAGGGAACAAAGTTCAAAGGCGACCTAGTTGTAGGGCTCCAGCAGGAACTATCTCTGTCGCGGCGAGTGCAGCTTGCCGTCCTGGCACACATTCGCCATAACCATACCAGATATGACCAGCTTCTTAGGGAGACAACTTGGCACAATGCCAGGCGAGTTACGGAACAGCTCTGCCTGGACTTTCTCGTCAAGTGGCGAGGTGATGACGAGAACGGTCGCGATCAGCTTGACGAGATTCTTCGCGAGGTGGTGGTTCTCTCCGATGATTCTGACGAGGAGGACTCGGACGAGGAGCCCGACTCCGATTCGTCAGAGGTGCTCATCACCAGGTCCAACAACATTGGCAGATTGTCGACACCGGCCGTAGTCCAGAACGTCGCTAACCGCGATAAACGCTTGTCGACAGCGATACCATCGCATCCAGGATCTCCGATGCTTCTTGCCACGCCCGGGATGTCCAGGAGGGCTTACAAAAAGGCACGCAGACGGGCCAAGCATCGTGAGCGTAACTTCAGTCGTTATGAGGCTGCTGCAAACGCTGCCTGGGATAACGCCAGACAGCGGCAGCGCGGGCCTGATGATCGCATGAACCAGGCGGGCAGCTCCGTTAGTAACGGAGCGCATCAACAGGGTCCGCCTGTTGAATTCATTGAGAACAGAGCCCCCATGGAGCATATCAATCATGCGGGTTCGCAGATGAGGCTGCCCCCTGCACCTCCCAACCACGCAGGTGCCCGCGCTCGAGAGAGCCACCAGCTGCAAGATTTCCTCCACCCATCCATTGAGCCAAGATCCCCTGACGGTATGAGACCTCCACCACGCTATTCCCGTGGCATGGTGGAATTCACGGACCGCAGAGGTGATGAGCTATACCCGCGTCTGAACTCCCTCCCCCATGGCCCACTGGTGCGAGAGGAGCGCTTTGTCCATCAAGCCCCCATTCACCAAAGTCATCCTATCCATGCGAGACCTTTGCGTGATGGCCAGGACATTGTTCAACCGCTTGAATTACCACATCGCAATGTGCTACAGGATTCCCATCGCCCACTTGTGTATCAGCAGCCCGCGCGAGATCATGGCCCTCCCCGACCTCAGGTTTACGCTGACAGAATCATCCACCGAGAGGACAACCTGCGGCGACGTCAAGGCAGTGTTCCAGGAGAGAGAGCCAATCCTATTATGATTGAGGATCACAACGTGCACCAAGGTACAGTCGTTCTTGGCACAGGCGAGAGCGTTCGGGACAGATTTGGCCCCGACGTTGAGATTCTCGCTGTCCATCGCCCCGGACGCGATCGTGGCCCGGATCCACAGCGTTTCAATTCAATGGACGAAGGCTTCATTCGCTTGCGGGAGAACAATATCGATCAGCGGAATGGATTGGCAGAGGAGGGCTTTCTCCGACTTAGAGAGCGCCCTGTCGCCGAACCCAGACATTCGATATACGGTATTGATGGACGTCCTCTTCTCGACGACTACCGGGCTACCCAACAGCCGCAGCCATACCGACCAGCTGAACCTTCTGGGCAGGCCATCTACGTTAGGCGCGTGGAGAGGCCGCCGCGCGCTGATGTATCCTATCCGGCGCACGGCTATGAACGTGTGGAGGCGGTCAGAAATGACAACCTTGCTCAGCGCGGAGTCCCGTCGCCCATGTACGGTGGAGCGTAAGTCAAGGTACCTAGAGCACTCGAGATCTACCAACTAACCTGGATTACGTATAGGCAATATGAGCATCAGCAACATCATCCGATGCAGGGAGCGTACGGCGTTCCCGTCTATCGACACGCCATGCCGGCTCAACAGCTTGAGGACCCATTTAGGTCCGACAGATATCGGCCATCACCCCCTCGCGCACCACCGCGCCAGTGGCCGCGCGCCAATGACGACGTGATCGTGCTTGAGTAGGTAACGGCTGTGCAGAATTGGTTTCCGACACTTTTCATGATTGGAATGGTCATGCAAGCATGTGTGAAAAGGACAAGGGACGACAGCATGTATATGGAGTTCAGGGATTACAAGCATCCGTCAACGAGTATTTTAGGTTTTGGGTTTTGAGAATCGTCGTGGACGGACGGGCAAGGTATAAGTCTATTTCTGTCCAGGGCCGGAAGGGGTTGGTTGGTCATTCAGTGACAGCTTGGGGGAGGATGCATGGAAGGAGTTGTTAGATATGATACCCATGGTCGATGAGCAAAAATTGCTCTCGTCTGCGTCTTAGTGGAGGACTAGGGATGGAACGCGGCCCCGGCCGAATGAGAATATGTTAAAGAACCACATCGCATTCATCACAAAGAAAGCACCGTTGCATGACTTCGCGATCAGTTGAAACTGTCCTGACTACAGAGTATCGGTCTCCAATACAGGATGCCACGCTCAAAACAGCCCAGTCTGGAATCCCCGTTTGTCACAACATTTGGCTGTCTTGCGCGTACGCGGGCTTGGTAAGGTGGGCAAATTTTTGTCGACGATACCTTGGATACCGGTAGACGGCGACCAAGCAATTAGGCCATCATCGAGAACGACGTCGATGCGAAGAAACATTGAACGGCAGCTATCTTTTCCAGGTTCTCTCGAAACCTTCAATTGTCTGTTAAAGGCCGTGATACGTATCGCTGCTTGCCTCTCGAACCGAATTCACCAGGTACGTACCCAGAGCATCCGGTTTGGCAGACCACTCTATCAACCGCTCCCGGACGTGTGAACGATGAGTGAGCTTGGTAGGCAACGCCTAGTTCGTTCTTACTCTGTACCATATATAATAGAAGAAAACCAAAAAAAAAGAGTTCACCCCCCCCCCCCCGGTGCTGAACTGGGGGCTACTTCTCTTGGTGCTCATGCTGGGGTTCGAACTCGGGTATCTCGTATGCGCTCAGCCTGTCGTCGAGTAAGGCTGGTTGGCGATTTGATTGTTGATCATAAATCACTCCACCACCCGGCCAGTTTGACCTGACCCGTCGACCTAGACGGGCGCCTGCTGGCTGGTGACTGGATTGGAGTTGGGGGGGTTTACATAAGATATCTCAGAAAAGTAGGAAGGAACCTTTGGGGATTTGGAGGGTTCGTGTGAATATTCGGTTTGGAATACGGCGTGCGATTAGCTATCAAATGTTTATAGGATATCTACCGAATCCCTCGTGGCCCAGCACTAAAGTTATATAGGTATTTAGATCTTTTATATATAAAGTATATAAAGTATATCATAGCTACGCTATGAGGTCCAGATTTAATGCTACAATGGCTTTAATCCCTAGCTATAAGTTAAGGTTCAAACGCAATTTTAAAAAGCATTTAGAGATATGGTCACTTTTTTTGCTCTCCTCTTCCTTATCTCCCAAGGAGGAGCATACTATGTTATAGATATCCTTTAACATGCTCCCCTATAAGAAAAGTCCCCTTTTCCTGTTCCCTCGCGCTTTGCTAGTATTCTCCCAGCAATACGCCCTACGAGAAAGACACCGCCACCGGCCAGTGGATGATGAAGTGAGCCCTGCTTGTCATGAATCCCATTGCGGTCTCTGAGCATTGCAGCGGCCCCAGTTGCCACGTTCCCCATGACCCTGGAGACCCGCGCACGTGTCTTCTTCTAAAGCAAAAGAGAATTGCGCTGGAGAAACGAAATAAACTTGGGTAACGTATGACGACTTTTTACTACAGTGAAGCCGAGATCCAGCTAGCGTATCCTGAAGACTTTGCATTGTTGAGAGTGTATCTCGGAACATGACATAGACACAAGTGATGCAGCGACGTTGACAATTCAAGGTAAGCAGGAGAACCTCCTTCCAGGGCCCAACTTGCCCATCGTCAATGAACACTAATTGCTGAGCAAGTCATCATCATGCTGTTAAGCTAAGATTGAAGTAATATCGATGTGATCATCAGCTCATATGCATTGAAAACCCCCCTGGGAGTTGATTCTAGCAACCAAGTAACGGCACATTCCGAAACAATGCAACGGTGTAGTTGATGAATCCAAAAAAGCAAACATAGCGAACCGTCCCCCGCCGCCCCTGTCTAGTGTCATATTGCCGCGCGCGCAGAGATGAAGCAACCAAGGTACTGTAGATAAACGTGGGGGGTGAAAAAAGACGTGGTTCCAAACCTCAACTCCATGAAAATGCAACCAGAAAAAAGTTTCCCCGCATGCTTGAGGCCCCCTTTATCATCAAGAACGTAAAGAAAAGATGTTGTTAAGAATAAATGAGAAAGGCCGGAAAAGGGCAACGCCAAAAGAGAGATGCCCATCATGAAGCCAACATGGGTTGCCTCGTCCGGATCGGCTGCTGCGCCTCGGGCTCCTCTTCCTCTGCGCCCTGCGGGACCGGCAGTTCCGTGTCGGGCACCTTGGGGAGCTTGTGTGGCTTGGGCGGGTTGCGGATGGCGTCTTCGGCGGCGACGCTGGCCTCGAGGGCGGCGAGCTCGTCTTCGACTTCTTCTTCGTCTTGGACTGATATACGGCCGCCGAGCATCTCGCTGACTTCCTGTAGAGTGGGTAAAAACGCACATGTTAGCCAAGTTTCCCAAACGCACGTGAACCTAGTATCAAGGCCGGATTCCATACCCTTTGGTAAGCGATAGCATCAGCCGTCTCACCCATGAGCTTCTCCACGTGCTCGATGCCGCCCATCTCGGAGTGTATCTCCTTGAGCACCTTGGTACCCTGCTGCAGCCCAAACACGACGTCCTTTTGGATCATGGCGAACTCGACCGACGATGTGAGCTTCTCGAGCTGCTCGAGCTGGGCGTCTGTCTTTTGCAGGAGGGACTCTTGGTATTTCTTGCGGCGGAGGGCGAGTAAGGCGCGCGGTTTGTCGCCCTTTGCGAGCATCTGCTTCGCGATGGCCGTCTCTTTATCTGTAAGGACGGTGATGCGGCGCTGGTACTGGTGGAGCTTGTCGCGTTGGAGCTTCATGTCTAGGATTGCCCTGGAGGAGGAGGAGAAGGGTTCGAGGTTAGCGAAGTGTGGTTTACACGATGGATGTGTGACGGCGCATCCAGTCTTGCGCATGCATCATTGGGCGTCGCATGCGCACGCACACGCGCGTGCGATATTCGGTAGGATCAAGAGCTTGGAACGTACTTGTCCTGGGCGGTGACTTTACTTGTATTGCCGCCCATTTTGGAGAAGAGGATGATGCGGTAGGACTATGCGATTCGGGTAATGATCTCGTGGGTTGGGAGGACGTCGGAAGGGTGGACCGACTTCGTTGCGAAGAGGGTATGGGTATGGCAAAGGAGAAAGGCGAATGAAGTGCCTGTCAAGGTGTTTGGTGCGCGAGGTTTCGGAGGTAGTTTGGTCGGTCAGTCGGACACGCGATACCGGTGATCGGTGACGGAGGAGGAATGGAGGGTAGGTTGGTTTGGGTCTCGTGCCTGAACCGGCTCGGTTTCGAGGCGCAACGCTGCGACGGAGGATGGACTGGGGGCACCGCTGTGAGTGCTCCGAGGGTGGACGGGTTGGAAAGGCGGGCAGTTCGTCATTGCTCTTTCCCCCATGTATCAGGTGGGGGCGATTGCGGACCCTGATAAGATAAGACCGTTTGAGGTTCCCAAAAGTCAGGTAAGCTACGACGAGCGCAGCTAACGTGTCTTAGGTAATGCATGTTACCGGGCCAACGGTTTACGACTTCATGCCTTCAGTACTATTGCCTACCTCATCTTAGTAGAGGTATCGCCAGCTACATCTTTGTCGGATGGTGGTTGGCGGGGTTCTAAAGTTTGGAGCGGCGACCACATCCCATGACCGTTTCTACTTCAACATCATCAGTTGGACTGACCCTGATCCCAAACGCAATGACAGGCGTGATATTATCCCACTCAAGAATAATCAGACGAGTACAGTTGCCATCCCATAGTAGCAAGTGAGACCAATCAATCTCACTTGCATTCGTGGACTTACAAATGTATCTGTACCCGAGCACCCACTTACCGAAAATCATCGTACCTCAAATGGATAAAGTGGTGCGCGTTGTACTGGTAATTTTATGTGATCGGGAAAGTGCGTGCGGTGAAATGAAGCTGAAGTTGTGATGACATGGGATGGCAGACGGGAGAGCGACAGCAACAATACGAGCAGTCACGAGATATACAGTCCGGCAGGGTTCTGAGAAACAACCAACACGACATATAAGTCCGGCCTGCAACGCTTGCTCTTCTTGCATTCGCTCTGACTATGATGCTGGCTGCGGTACAGGTAGATATGTTCACGGATATCAGCAGAGTCAAGCCGGGCTGATCCTTCACAAATTAGGATTCCAAAAGTCTACCACCATATTCTCCAACAACTCGGGTCCCAAGGCCGCCACCAGCTCCGCAATACCAGCCTTGAGACATCCGCTCACCCCGACATCCTGACGCTCCCACGCGACGAGATCGCCAGTCTCGAAAAGTAGTCCAGAGCCATCTATCCGCAGCTTGATGTGGTCCATCTCCTCGAGTGAGCGGATCTCGTCAAGCGACATGATGCCCGGCATACCGGTATTGAACAAGAACGTATCGTCGTCGTCATCGTCCTCAACCTCCCTGAGGTCTTCTGTCGATTCTTCTTGGCCGGCTGCAGACTGAACTGAAGCATCTTTGGCTCCCTCGGCAGCTGGCTCATCAGCTTTCTCCTTCGATAAGCTCAGGTATGGCTTATTGTCCAAAAGACCCGTAACTCTCTTGTCCATGAGATCCCAAGCCAGCGTCTCAGGGTCCAGGATATACTGGGGCGTGTAGTCCATCTTGTATCGCATCTTGGGACAACTGTGAATGTAGAAACCCGGATACCAGTAACGATAGCCATCTTCCTGTGCTAAAGCAATCTCACGGATCGCGCCCAACTTCCCTGGTGCAAACTTGTGAATGGACTCGTGGTAGAGAAAGTATACGGCGGAGACGCAGTGAGGAAGCAGATCTAGTACACCGATGGCTACTAATTTCCCATCCAAACGGTAGCATTGATGGAATGAACCAAGCTTTTGCTCCTTGCCGTCAGGCGTCGTGATTGTCTTGCGCTGGACCGGGGACTCGCATAGGAAGCGTTGAAAGCCGCGGCGAGTGATGTCGGCCGGCTCCTCCCCATGAACGACTCGCTGGTAGTTCTCATACACTTGGTACTTTTCCTCGGTGAAGACATCATCTTCCAGGGTAACGGTGAAGACGTGGGCGGGCTCTGGAGGCAGCTGCAGGGAGTCATATTCCGCCTCGTGGACCCTCTCGATCAAGTCGAACTCAGAGTCCCGTTTCTTCGCCTGCTCGCGTGACCGGGGGTGGAGACGAGCTGCCTCCTTGATGTAGGCATCGCCAGTCAGGTACTTGTTGAACCGGTTGATGGTTTGTCGTTGATCTCGGGTGGGCTTGAACTGGGTGGAGTCCAAGCGGAGGGTGTAGTGAACGCAGCACGCGTGGAGTTGGTCCGGTCGGTAGAGGGTCGTCCCGGAGCGCCTCCAGTAGTGATCCAGCAGGGTCTGGTAGTATTCAGGAGTAAGAGATGTGGACTTGGCATAGTAAGAGAAGCCTGTCGAGTAGAGGCTCAAGTTAGTAACGGATCAGATCAGGGACTCCCACAGTGGCCGACCACAAGTCACTATTCCGCAAGTCCATGTGTGGCTTACACGAGACGACATGGAAAAAAACAAGGGAGGGCATTCACGTTTTGACTGACTCTTGCCTTGGCGGCCACAATAACCACAGCGCGATGAATTAGAATATCCTGAGCTTGTATTAGCAAACCGTATGGTGTGAAGTTTTGTTCAAGTAGTAGCTAGCTAAGCGCATTTCCCAAGCCTCGTAATCCTGAAGGCGTTTTCGAGATGTGGTTATCAAACAATGGGAACATCTCTCGTAGGGCATTGAAGGCCAATTGAGAGCATAGAACGGGGGGGGGGGGGGCATGGGAACAAAAGAAAAGGCCAATCGCGTGTCTTCGTGTTCAACGTACGTATGATGAGGACACATCCCGAATCTTGGAGACAAATGGGCTGGCAAGCGTGGGATTACACATCCATGGCGTGCAGACAGACCCCCAACTTGATCCGACTTTGAAGGATTGAAGTGTGAGGTTTGTGTGACTGGGAATGGGATGCAGTGACATCGATCGGCGCAGATGCACGAGGAAAAAGGCAACTAAGCCAGTTCCAGAGCGACCAAGGGAGCTACCCCATAAAATGCCACGAGCCAACGGCGGCTGAGAGAAGTTGCACGGGGGCAGATGGTTGGAGGAGAGAATAGGACGAAGGACTCACCGATTGGAGTTATATAGGACAAGGCATCGCCAGGGGTCTGCATGCTTGTGTCGTCCATGACTGTCTGGTTTGCTGCGACTTGCTCGCTCTACTGACGCGCCAGGGAAGCAGCCAGCTCGACTAGTGCTAGGCAAGCACGAAACGTTGGCTGATATTCGAAGTGATCGCTTCCGAGGCGGGCACGCGGGTTGACGTCTAAACGCCTGGCGGAGAGGAGGGGTACGCTATGTATCCTATGACTGTGACAAGGTGCAAGTCGAGGGTTTTGAGCCGCTGCCCTTTCTATCCCCTCTTTGACGGATGGCGCTGTTCGGCTATGGATTCGACTTGATGCAGTGAAGTCCAGTCGGAAAGTGTACTTGTTGGTGGAACTCTCACACCCCTTGCGGCATTGGAGTGGGAAGCGTGGGGTCGCGAAGCTTGAGATGGAGTGAGGGGTTAGTCGCCAGACACGACCTAACGGCCTTTTTCTTTAGTTTGCAGCGCTGTGAATTGCCAGCTGGTTGGCTGTGACGTCTGTTGTCTAGCGCTTGGCGCAGTGCGGCCTAACAACCTGGAAGACAGAGGAATATGAAGTGAATGCGACGCGAGTGAGGCTCTCCCCCCTTGGAACCATGAGGAGCCTGCTTGTGATACGGATCGGTATGTATTTGTAGTCTGCAGTGGCCAGTCAATATCCAGAATGTGACCTCAAATAGGCCCCCCAAAAGAGGTATGACGACGTTGCGTTTGTCTGCCTGCTCGCGCGCTTGCCTCACCTTACCGCCCCATTAATTGTGCCTGCTGGTCCCAGTCTGTTTGTACCTTGTCTGCCAACGTAGACCACTCCTGCTCTTTGACTCGAACCAGCTCGTCGACGCCCGTGTAAGTTGAGGTGGAGGCGTTGACCCGGAAAACACCGGCTCGGTCTAGCTATACGCCGCTCTCTGTTTGCTGTGTGTATCTCGACGACGATGGAGGCACGGGTATGCAGGAGCTTAGAGTCTAGAGCATGGATAATGCAAACAGGCAGCGTTACCCTACCTCACGGCAGATGACTACACCATTAGGTCTGCAATCTCGTTGGCCCGAAGGAATGTCGCATACGACGTGCCAGGATGAGGCGGCGGCGGCTCTGTCGGATCGGAGAATGACGCGAGAAAGGCACCTGGATAAGAAGATGATATGCGATAGCTTGAGTAAACGGCGTGGCTTCGTAGTTTCAAGCTGAGAATGCCACCGATGGTAGCAGTCAAGTGAGCGTTCTAGCTGTAGCATCAGGAGGCAACACCAGCCGACAGGAGCCCCAAGGTAAGCAGGTAGCAATGCGGCATCGAGATACGATCGGTGGTGAATGCAAGTGAGCTTTGGGGGTGTTGTATTTCGTCGCATTGCTTGGGGTTGTATCCGTGCCTCCCTCCTAGAACTCGATGGAAGAGCAGAAGCTACTACGTTCCAGTGCACGCACCCGCCAGGTTGAACAACCTATCGGCTGAGGATTCTAGACCTGAAGGTAGGTAGGCACCTAGGTCCGGATGCTTAGCCCTTCATCGAGGATCGTGATGGTCAGCATCGGACTAACTCATCAAGAAGGTCCTTCCTTGGCTGCTCAACTTGCACACGGTGGCCTTGGGCGAAAGTTCCAACCCCACGTCAAAGTCCTATCCTGGACAAGAAATAGGCTTTTGGTTGGTGAATTATCCGTAACTTGAGTGGCCAGCATGCCAGTTCCGATGCAGTGTGGGATGCATCCCGTTAAACGTCTGGAATACTCCGTACAACCAGTTGCGATAGGTGTGTGTGGCCGCACCCCTCCCCTGAACTTGTGGTTAAGCTGCTTTGCCAGAGAGCCAGAGATGAAGGATTTTGGTTTCATTTCAGACGGGCATTGGGGCAGTAACAACTCAATCTGCGCGCTGCATCAGATGATCCTGAATTTTCACTTCAGATGTTCTGTGGCCACTGTCATCTGTCCATACTTGGACAATTTACACGGGAATTCTCAATGGGCCGTAGACGTTTTCTTGAGCATGGACGTTATGAATGACACTGGTAAGGCACACCGGAGCTCTCAAAAGCCAATCAGAACTTGCTGCAATGAGTTCACTCTCGAAGCGAATTGAACCAAAAACCAAGAATGTACAACAATCCCTGGACTCCAGTTAAGCTGACCGGGAAAGGCTCCGATTCTAGTTGTGGTAGAAGGCTTTGGTAGCAGCCAGGTAGGTGTTTGGTCTGGATGTGTGAGCCGATAACTCTTCGCTGAAGGCCACCTCGTAGGCTCGGTCTCATTCTAGCCGATGCTTGACGACAATGCCTGGCGACTGAGAATCCAAAGTGAGCATGCCAATGTCGCCAGCATGGAGCTGCCATCCTGCAGCCGAGCAGCCTGCGGATGAGTCGGTCCCCGTTGAAGATTTGGCATTCATTTCCAGGTTGTGCCCTCGAGCGAATTCTACGCAATTCTCAGTCGGGGCCCCCTTGTTCAGCCCAGAAACAAGTCAACCGGCCGCTACCCGCCAGTTGTTCGCGCATCAAAGGAGGCGCTTGAGTTGGCTAGAGCCGTTGTTCGGTTCGTTGCGCTCCTCTTTTGTCTGGGGAGACTTTGGTCAGCAAAGAATCCCACTGATCTTGTCGAGTCAGAGGAACCTATACTTTGCATACAGCGGACGCAAAGCATATGGCGAATCGAATAGTTCTTGCAAGTTCCTGGGCAGCGTCTCCTGATTCCTGGGCCACGAGGACACAGGCGGCTGCTGGCCTAAACAACGCTCTTGCACCTACTCGTTCTAGTCGGAGCGACACGGCGTGGCTTGCATTGGATGCCTGTGCCAGAGAGATGCTTGTTCGTCGAATCACTTGGCCCGGGGGCCAAGACAACGACAGATTATGGGGGCAACGAAGAACTTGTGATGCTGTACAGTGTACTTCTGGGTGATGCCAATGATTCCCGGCTCTGCTGGCTGAATCGAGCCTGAAGAGATGGAACGGAGACGGACCGTTGTGTTCGTGCCAAGCGACATTGGAGACGGTCTAAACAATGGTAGCATGGCCGATTATTAGTTGATTAGTGGATTCCGAAAGCCAGGGAACCTTCAGGTGCTCTTTGCAAGTCACAACCCTTGGAAACGCCGAGCAAACTTTCAAAGGAAGACTTTCCAAGTGCACATACAAGCCGTTTAGATAAGGCGTGGTATCAATTAGCAATTTTCAGACCTGACGATATGAGTGGACTTTGTAAAGGCCGATGCTGACAACTTGAGTCGTAGACCCAAAGGTTCTCTGTACATTGGCAAGAAACTGAGGAAGTTGAGGTAGCAAACGGTGTGGGAAGCGTAGCAGTGCAACGTCAATACGGTGGGCAAAAATGAGAGTGAGAGGGAACGTCCAGGTCGCTCGACTTCCATTGATGGGGCCGGTCTCTCCAGCCCCATCACGTCGTCCGCTGGCTGCAGCACCCCACCCCTCTAACGCATTTTTGGGAACATGGCCTGCCGCAAGTGCAGTGGATGCCGAGCCTGCAGGGCATGCGGCACATTTGGCATCCAATGCTTGTGGTAGAGGGTTCGAGTGCGCCGGCGGCGATGTCGACGAATAGTGGGTATGGTATGTAGATATGTACTCCGTAGGCCCGAGAAGTCGAAGATAAAGAGGAAATACTCGTAGGGATACCGGACAGCCAGGACAGGCGTGACGAGTTTGGGACTGACTGAAAGCAGCCGATGGAAAGAAAGCGCTGGTACACTGGGTCTGGACTTCTGGGCTTGGATGGCGAGACTGGGTGAATGGTAGACGGGGGACCTGGATCCATCCCATCAACTTGCTCAAGAAAAATTAGCGGCATTGTCGTTGAATTCTGGTTGGCAAGTCATGTATCTACGTACCTAACCAGCCAAGCAGACATCTGAGGTGCTTTTTCTACTGCACTCACGAGTAGAGTACCTTTCAGGTTGCTCGAGTGAACCCCAAATGTGGTGGTTTGTTGCTTGGATAATATGCGTCAAAGTTGTTTCTAGAACTACGGACTTGCCTTACGTACCTTACCATAAGGTACCTAGGATAGAGAGAGAAAGAGACAGAAGGGGAAACACAGACAGAGAAAGAGAGAGGAAGGTACGGGGATACTGTACGGATACCTTACGGACCTACCCACGCTTTCCTGGTGCTTCCTGTCCCTTCCCAAAATGTCAGGTTGAGCTTCCCTGCCTCTACCTGCGGACCGAATCCCAGAATCCCAGGGCAGAGAGACCGACCAACGGGGAGCTTTCCCCATGCATGTCACTTCTCACCCCCATCTCTTGCCTGTCCTTGCCACACCCTGCTGATTATTTTATTTTTATTTATCTTTTTTTCTCAGTCTTTTGGTCGGCTTTTTTACGCTCATCTCACGCCTCTGCTACGGAGTAAGGTACTGCTGCCCACCTTGGCTACTCTGCTCTGCTCCGCTCTGCTCATTCCCACGCGCAGCAGCCACACCACACTTTCTTTCCCTTCTCACACACACACACACCAACCTGCCTTACCTTTCCGTCCCCAGCCTGGCATCATACCCTGACCTCCCGTCTACCTTCACCCTTTTTTTTTTTTTTTTTTTTTTTTTTTTTTTTTTTTTTTTTTTTTTTTCCTCTCTCTCTCTCTCTCTCTCTCTCTGACCGGCGTAGCCTGCTAGCTGGCTGGGCCACCTTAGTATCCGTAGTCCCTCCTCCCCTGCCCGGTACGGTACCGTGGGCTGTTGGAGGCACAAGCTCTGCCTTCAAAGGGTTAAGTATATAAATCAACTTTAATTTCCCCTGGAGACCGTTCCCGCTCAATTTTGCTCTTATGGCACGAGACATGCCACTCTCTGGCCTGCACCAGAGCTCTCAGCTACTATTACTACCACCGCCTGAGCAACCTACGCCCATCCTGGCCTTGACTTCTTTCACTTTTCACGTTGAATACCTTTGCTCCTTGTGCCCGGCCAGCTCCTGAGCCAAAATATACAATCCCCATCTTTTACCCTCTCACTAGGGTCTTTCGTCACTCGGTGGTGCGTGCCTCAGTCATATCTGACGCCGCGTCCTTCCCGCCTCATCCTCCTTCCCGTCTCCTCTCTGGTTTACAACAAGCAACCTTTGTCACCCCGAACCCTCAAACCCCGAACCAGCCAGACGACGGGTTTTCCTGCTCTTCTGTCGTATCTCCATCGCCCGGCCGACACCTGTCTGCCTTACCCCGACTTCGCTCTCTGTAAGCCATTGAGTGACTCGGTGCGGTCAAGGTTTGCCCTTTGGCCGGAAACGTGCGACTGCTGGCCCGACACAGGCTGGTCCCACTCGTTTCTCCATCGTGGTGGTGAATCTATCCGAGCGTTCCCTCAGCTGGTCTCTCTTTCACTCTCTCGCTCTCTGCTGCTGCCGCCGCACCTACGATCGCACCGTCTTGGGGTCTGCCCTGGTCGGATCTCGCAGAGAAACCTGGTAGTTGCTACTGCTCCTCAGATCGGAGCCTCGTTCCAAGCTGCAACACGCGCCAACAACCTGCGATTCACTCGGGTTCTCTCGCTGTCGTGTGATTCGGCATCGCACCCTTCCCCATTACCAACCGCTCATACCATTTTAAAAAAGCGCGATCATGTCGTTGAAAACCCTTTGAACCCGCATCGAACCCCGACACCCACCGCCGCCCGGACAGATTTGGGCTTGCAAATCATCTTGCGAGGGAAAAAAGTTGCCGGACCTACCGCCACCACACATCACAGCAGCCCCCCACCATAACCGACCCCAAACACATTCCACAACAAACCCCGCGACAGACGATCTGTCCGAGATGGCTTCCTCTCACAAGGAGCGGACGATGGAGTCACGCACGGGAAGAAGCAAGCAGCGTAAGTGCGCAAACGGGGCAGAGGCAATACCCCTCCCATTCTGAGCCTCTTCCCCCGACCCTGGTGCGCCTGCTCGCTGCGCGGGACCCACTAACACCTTGGTCATCACAGGTTATAACTCCAAAGGCGAACGCTTGGTTGCTGGTGTTGTTCCCCTAACCAAGGACAAGCGCTACGTCCTCCTCATCCAGTCCACCCGCCGGAAGGGCTGGGTGCTGCCCAAGGGCGGCTGGGAGACAGACGAGGAGTGTACCGAAGCGGCGGCGCGTGAAGCCTGGGAAGAAGCAGGCATCACTATCGAGATCGACTATGATTTGGGAGATATCGTCGAGACAAGAGCACCGAAGCACTCAAGCAAAGACTCGGCCAAGGCCCTCTACAGGTTCTACGAGGCTACCGTCACAGCGCAAGAGGAAGCTTGGCCCGAAAGCCACAAGAGGGAACGTCAGTGGATGACATACGCCCAGGCCAAAGATGCGTTGGCAGCTCGACCTGAGCTCCTTGAGGCATTGACAAGATGCACTATGAAGAAGTCATGATACGCACCCGGCGCATCGACGCCCGAGGTTCCTCGGCTTTTGTTTGCTCCTGGCTCCAAGCGCAAACAGGCATCTTCATGGTGCAATATGCTACCAAGGCCACCGCTGTCGTCAAACAAAGATGCGCTTCTGCGACGATCTATGGATCACGAAGAACCTACAAGTGCCAAAGGCTCCTTGACTCCCGATAGAGGACATGATGGCCCCGAAGAGCACACCTGGTAATTCGTCGGCTCCATTCGGTTTACAGACGAAACAACTTTCGTACTAACCCGCCGAGGAAAAGAAAAAAAAAGAAAAGAAAAATAATTGCATTATGAATGGGCGTTGATGGTTTGCTTGCTATAGACGACGAAAATCAAAAGGGGCGGCCCAGGACTGGCATGGGAAGCATCAAAGAGCAGAACTGCAATTGAGATATGGCGAAGCGGGAGGATTTTCATGGCAGCCATGGTTCCTTATGACTAAAGCCAATGCTCTTTGGAACTGTTTGGGACACTTCGCGAGACAAAATGGTTCTTTGATTATAGATAGACCAACGCAATAGTCCGCAGAGAGCAGTATCGTGAGAAAGAGACAACACAACACGGAGCTAGAAGAAAGCTGCAGCCCTTTCAGGGTTCGTGTGACCAGACCTTTTCCAAGACCTGATCCAAACCCTTTGTCTCCTGTCACTGGCGCGACACGAAGCCTTTCTTACCAGCCACAAATATCTACATGCCAGTTCGCGCAGGCATTGGAAGTCGAGAGCAGAGAGCCGGACTGGCTGCTTCCCCTCCACAGCACCACCCAAACACCCAAGGTACCTTACCGTCAGGGACCGCGACTGCCCCGCATGCATCTGAGATCATCAGAAATTTTGACAGCAGGGATTGACTCATGCCCCGCCTTTCACGTGCCCTAGCCGCTGACCCCCACCAGCAAACGATCCGTGCTTGCGGTCTCTGCCGGGGCGGTTCAGCTCCAACCGGCTCCTGCTTCAATGTTTGTACCTCCGGATGACGCAAAAACAGGCCCTCCGATGCCACACTCCAGTTAAGGTCAGGCATTACCTTTTAGAACACCGCCACACCCACCAAGCCGTACCAGGGATGGACCCCACGATGATGATGGCTTGATCGATCACACCCAGCGTTCCTGAACCAAAAGAAGCTACCAAAGCACAATTGCCTGCACCGAGAATACTGAGGCAAGCTACAAACGAGTGTTCGAAAACCCCTCTTGATGATGTCCTTGGGCGGCACATTATAATCTACCTATTCGCTTTGCTGCATCGCATTCGCCTCGCACCCTCTATTTGCGCCCAAATCGATGGACTGGGACAGGCCCGAATGCAATAACTACCGCATACCAATGACAACAAGATAACAATGGAAAACCTCAACATCTCCGATGCCCCTCCCCAGGGGCCCCAACCCGTCCTGGGCGGCCGCGCGCCGCCTCCCCAACAGACCCCTCAGCTCCCGCCTCAGATGTTCACCACTGCGGCGCAGCTGCTGGACATGACCGACAGTATGGGAAATATCACGGCAGCCTCGGCCGCATGAGTGCTGCGGTACTCTTCGCGACACCAAACGCTAACCTTCCGTCAGAGAAGCTCATGGTTGCACTGCGCGACGGGCGCAAACTGATCGGCGTCCTCCGTAGCTGGGACCAATTCGGTATGTAAACGGCAAACGGCAAACACCTCATAAAGCTGTAAAAAAGGCTAATGATGGACCTCTTGTCCTTACCTTCGCTCAGCCAACCTCGTTCTTCAAGACACTGTCGAGCGCGTCTACGCCCACCCGGACCCGGAAGCCAACCCGCCCCGCGCAGGGGGCCTCTTTGCAGACATCAAGCGCGGCATCTTCCTTGTTCGCGGCGAGAACGTGCTCCTCCTGGGCGAGATCGACCTCGACAAGGACGACGACCCACCCGTGGGCTACGAGCCGGGTGACCTTAAGCTGGTTCAAGGCCTGGCGAACGAGAGAAAGGAGAAGGAGAAGACGCGCGACAAGGGGCGGATCAAGAAGCTCAGCACGCTGGGCTTCGAGGGCGAGAACATGGGCGAGATCTTGCTCTGATTCTCCCTGGTTCATGTTCTTATCCCCCTTTCCCCCGCCTTCATGATGAAATTTCTACGCGGGAAACCCCTGACTACCAGGACAACAGCAACTCGGCTTATGGTCTCTTTATTCATTCTCCATATGACTCACGAATGCACGCTGAATGAGAATGGGTTTGGGTTGGGTTCGAGCTGGGAAAGGAAGTCAAACCCCGAGGCCCTAATGTGGTCTATGCGGTTGCCGAGTGATACAACGCATCGGCAGTCCACTTTGTCCTTCCGACGCCGCAGTGGAGGGCTGGTAGGATGCTTGAGCAGAATATTGTGAAATGCTCGTCATCCAGGGTCTGGTCACTACGACCGACGCCAGCAGAATAGAATTTAAAGCGTTTTACAAATTACCTGGCAAATACTTGAAGCTGTGCGTCCTGTTCTACTCGTTCATCTCACCACGATTCACCAAAGTCGATAGGCAAGTCTATATCTTTGTACGTTACCCCCCTTGACTCACAGGTACATGCTCTTATCTACAACCCAGGAACGAAGCCCTCAACCACAACGTCCCACTCGCTAGGGAAGTGAGGTCCCTCCTCGCCATCCCACCCCCCAGCCATCATGGCCACGGCCAGCAACAAGCTGCTCGAGCTCGGGAAGTACGGTGTCGGCACCCTCGTCCCGCCGACGGGATACCCCGCGTCGTCGAACTGGAAGGTGGGGTGGAGGAGATAGTCGACGGCGCGATTCGCGTCGCCCAGGCGGAGGCTGTTCATGGCGAGCATGGGGAAATCCCAGCCAAAGGACTCGTCGAGGTCCCACAGCGCCCAGATCCGGGCGGCGGTCTCCTCGAGAACCGTGCGGTTCAGCAGTGAGCCCGAGGCCGGCGGCGGGAGAAGGCCGAATATGCCCGCCATGGCTGGGTGGTCTTGCACCGTCGTCGTGTTGGCTGTCCACATGTCGGGGATGCCTTGGTAGACGGGGTACGTGCCGTCGATGATGGGTAGGGGCGCGAGGTTGTCTCTGACGGTGGTCCAGGCTTCCGGGACGGAGGCATTCTGGCGGGATTTCCAAGAGATGGCGACGCCGAGGCCAAAACGCCAGTACGCGAGCTCAAAAGTCGGATTGACGGTGGCGTTGGGGTTCGTGTTCTCCGAGACGGGGTACATGGGCGGGCCGAGGTCGTAGAGGCCCGTCGTCTCGTTGAGGAAGGCGTACGAGGCCATAAAGTCCGCCGTTGCCGTGAGGACGGCGTCCCATTCGGCGAGGGTTTGTGGCGTGGGCGCGTGGCGGTAGGCGAGCTCGGCAAAGTACATCGGGTGCGGCTGCTGCCAGATGAGGAGGGTGTTGATCTCGCCGGGGGCGTCGATGGCGGAGGGGTCCGTCATCTTGCCCCAGCGGGCGCCGGCGTAGCCTTGCGTCGAGGCCCGAGCGAGGGAGGAGGGGAGGAGGTGGGTGTAGGTTCGTGGGATGGAGCGGGCGAGGAGGGCGTGGTTGTTCCAGCGGGCGAATTGGAGGGTGTGCCAGAGGATCATTTCCATCTTGGAGTGTATGTGTGAGCTAGACGTGGTCATGTATCGAGGAGTTTGGAGGATGTGACTTACATGGAACTTGCCAAACCAACCATTGTTTACAAGACCGGATTCTATGTTTTTGTTAGCACTCTTCTCGGGCGAGAGAAAAGTTAATAGGGGGTGGTTGGATTGCTAACTCACCTTGTGGAGGATAGTCTGACGCCGAGTTCACCGCCACGAGATACTGAGACTTGATTATTCTGCGCTGGAGCTCGGTCGCATTGGCATCTCGGGTCCCCGTCAGGTCGACAAAGGCCCCGTTGTTCCAATACGACGGCCACCATTCTCGCGAAGCCGCCACGACGTCGTCAAATTCGGCGGGGGACCCGGGTGCAGCAGAAGGCGCAAAGTTGGCCGTGAATCGCAGCATGTCCGTTCCACTGGTCGAAAGGACGTATCGATGGCTCCCGTCAGTCGGTGTCTTGATAGCACCGCTACCACCGGCGGCGACATCCCACTTGAGTGACAGATCATACTGCGTCGTGGTTAGATCATGATGGATCGTGGCCTTGTTGGTTTCTCCTCCATCAGGGGTCGATAGGGACGTCTCGTGAAGATCCGTCTGGTTGAAGACACCCACAAACGGTGCTCCAAACTTGTCGTTTGTCGGGTAGGGAAAGTCGAAGAAGACGGATAAGATGCCGGAGGCAAGGAGTGCCGATTCGACGGACACGGCGACGCTGTCCGAGGATGGGTCGGCCCAGGTTTCGACTTTGACGGTGTGGTTTTTGTACGTGAAGCTGGACCGGATGACACCCGTCCACATGTCGAGGGTCTGTTCCTTGTTGCTGAGGGTGTCCTCCGTCACTGCCGTATTGCCGCCGTCGGAAAAGGAGAAGCCGATGGTGCCTAGATTTATGCGGTGCGGGTTCTCGCGGAGCCAGTCTGCGATGTCGTTGTTTGAGGGGTTGGCCATGTTGTACTGTACAAGTCGGCCGTGTGTCCACCACTCTGTGCCGTGGTAGTCTATCGTGAAGAGAGTCAGTACATGCTTTCTGGACTTAATACTTTTGACGCCTCTCGGCCATTCCGTCTCACCTTCGATTTGAGTCTGACCAGGCGTTTTGGGCAGGCTAAAGTTGTGCCATCCCCATGTCGACATCGTCGCAAAGGGACTGAAGGTCTGGAGACCCGTGATGTCAGCCCCAAAGGCGAAGTTGCCGTTGCCCACCTGTAGCGGCGTCTCAAGGGAGCTGGCATTACGGCGAGGGTTGAAGGCTTGGACGACCTGTTGCCTGTCGATACTGGCCTCGATGAGGCTGCAGAGCAGCGGAAGGAGATGCACGACACGCATGACTGTCATCTTTCAATTAAGAAATATTAAGACTGCATATGGCAAGCCAGATCGAAGCCATATATATGGAGTGTTAAACCCGGACATCAAGTTACGCGGGGAAACCGGGCTGCTCTTTTATTTCATCCCCAAGAGATCTGCGATCCGGCCATGACGACGCTTGAAGCCGGGTCCTCCCCCCTTGTGGTCATGCGTGAAGTTTGTGTCCATGGTTCATATGCGTCAAGTACTCACCTTTCGGTGTGGTTTGCACCGAAGGCACCAATGCCATGCTATGGGTAGGCCCTGGGGAACGATGAGGGGAAAGAGATGAACTACAAATGCGGGGATGACATGGTCTCCACTTTGGAATTGAGGCTATTCAAAACCCAGGCCGGCAGAAGTCCTCGTGGAGGATTGAGTTTGCCTGCGGAGAAAACGACAGGGATGCATAGATTTGAGTGATGCGACTATACTAGACCAAATTTCAAGTTTGCAGAATCACGGCCTCGGGGACTGTGAACGGCAATCGGCTTACCCCGTAGCTAATGTACTGTGCATAGAACGCCGTAATTCTGGGTCCCGGCTCCGGGAATTAGGAGACCCGCTCGATGTCATCCGGCTGTCCGTCATTGGGAGCCGGGAAAGGCCCCGACCGCCTGGAGCCACTTCAGCCACATCAAGCAGGGATTGACTGTGGCGTTTGTACCCACCAACCGGCTCCTGCAGCCCAGCAACCGCACCGATTGGGCAAGCGCATAAACACCACTCATCCCTTTGATGCAGTAGGGGGGACCCTTTCACAGGCACCTTACCTCATGTCACCCTAAACAGCCAACACAGCGCGCCGTGGATCCAACAACATCTTGATTTGACATTTCACCTCCAGACATACCTCTACCGGTCGCGCAAACAGGATACGAGCATCGAGTCGACATCTTTGGACGTCATATGACTATCTGGTATGTTACAACATCAATGACATCTCTCTGCGACTGCTCTTTGGATTTCAATTGTTCCATTACCCCGCTAACCACTGGAATGAGCAGCCTTCGACGATAACATAACACATCGAACCTCCTTCCGCGCGCATTTCGATAATAGACGTCGCCCACCATGGACAGGGTCGCGGGCCTCACAGTGTCAGTACCATACCCAACACCGCCTCTATGATGTCCCTTTTGCAATACCTCAGTGTGAGGACGGGCTTGCTGGCGGCGGGAATACCACCGCTGCCGCCCCCGGTACCGCCAGCCGTACCCGATCCCCCTCCACGAAGCTATGGCGGTAGTCTCGTCAATCGAGACGTGACCGTCATCCAGACTCCTGAACCGCAGATCCCCGAACCAGTATTGACAGCTGCTGACGATGACTACGAGGACGGCAGTAACCAGAAGGCGGCTAGGAACCAATTTCGGGCGCGTACTGTCAAGGGAGCCAACAACGGCGTTGCATTGCGACAGTATGCCGAGGCCACACTCGGAGGCGGCAGCCTGCGCAAGGTTGTGAAGTTGCCTGAAGGCGAAGACGAGAATGAGTGGTTGGCAGTCAATAGTGAGTATTATACGGGGGAATTTGGGAGGTGGTGCAAAGAAAACAGCACGACTGACACGCCTCCAATACAGTGGTCGACTTTTACAACCAGATCAACCTCCTCTACGGCGCTATTACCGAATTCTGCTCGCCCCAATCATGCCCCGAGATGAAGGCAACCGACGAGTTCGAGTACCTGTGGCAGGACAGTGAGAACTACAAGAGGCCGACTAAGATGGCCGCACCGGACTACATTGAGCACTTGATGGCCTGGGTTCAGCGTCACATTGACGACGAGCAGATCCTGCCGAGCAGAATCGGTGTGTACTGCTTTGACACGCTTAATAGGAGATGGTTTCTAACATGAATTATTAGGTGTTGCCTTCCCCAAATCATTTCCCTCAACGGTGCGGCAGATCTTTAAGCGCATGTATCGCGTTTATGCCCACGTCTACTGCCACCACTACGCAGTTATCCGAGAGCTTGGACTGGAGCCCCACCTCAACACGAGTTTCAAGCAGTACGTTCTGTTCGTCGACGAGCACAAACTGGCTAGTGGCAAGGACTTTTATGGTCCTCTGAACGATCTCGCGGAGAAGATGATTGAGAGCGACTGAGACAGGCCAGACGAGCCTTTCGAGAGTATGAATGCATGCATTGTCTAGGCGTTGGGGAAACACGGATGACACGCCGGTTGGCAAGGTAATAAGGAAGGTCTGATGATTGGCGTGTGGGGCTTTGACACTGCTGAGCCTGTGGACATAAGGCATTGAAGCGGTTATTGTGATATCACTGTAGACTACAAACTGGGTAACGGGTAGTACGGCCTTGGGTTAAGAATTCGAGAATTGCGAATGACCAAATCGCTGTGCATTCTCTAGTATCTTGAGTACATTGCATGGAGTTCCATCAATTATGAGACCCAAAGTACCTAGGTAACTAACTTTGTCCCATTGCATCAGAATACCTAGGTTGGCTTAAAAGAGTGGAGCTTGGGCCTGCCTCTCTGTGCAGTAACAACGAGCACCTCCGATTTCCACCGACCCGAGCCCTCGACCCGCTTACCTAAGTTGATGCCTTACCACTCAGCCAGCACCCAGCCACAATGTCCCAAGGCATCAACATCCTAGATTGCCGAAGTTCAAACCTCAACCTCGAAAACCGACCCAAGCTACCACCACTGCGTCTCGTTCGAATCCAGCCATCCCTTCCTCCCGCCCGTCTCCCATCTTCAATTGAACTCCTCTACCCACCACAACCGGAACCTCTCTTTCGCCCAACATGTTCTCGAGACAGGCTGTTCGCACCCTCCGAGCGGCGGCTCCCGCCTCGCGCCTCGTCGCCCGCGCCCCGGCCGTCCGCACCTACGCCGCTGCCGCCGCGACCGAGGCCGTCAAGCCCCCCGTCGCCGTCTTTGGCCTCGACGGCACCTACGCCACTGCCCTGGTACGCACCTGTTCCTCTCGTTACACTGGTTATTCCCTGGACGGAGGGTTGTTCAATTGGATCAATTGGTTGGGGGAGGAAGTTGTTGATTGAGAGGATTGATGGGGAATGAGGGAGCTTTCCGGAAGGAATTTGAGGCATTGAGGGAAAAACACAACCGGAACGGGAAAACCACTCAAAGACCTCTCACAGACGGCTAACTTTGCCCGGTCACAGTACACCGCCGCCTCCAAGACCTCTTCCCTGGACCCCACGGCCAAGGCCCTGGCCACCCTCGACGCCATCTTCGCCAAGGACCCCAAGCTGTCCACCATCCTCGCCGCGCCCACCCTGACCCCCGAGGACAAGGCCGCCATCGTCGCCGAGCTCACCAAGCAGGCCGGCGCCGGCTCCCAGGAGACCGTCAAGAACTTCCTCGCCGCTCTCGCCGAGAACAACCGCCTCGGCCTCCTCCCCGGCATCACCCAGAAGTTCGCCGAGATCATGAGCGCCGCCCGCGGCGAGGTTGAGCTCACCGTCACCAGCGCCACTGTAGGTTTCCTTTCCCTCATTTGAGGCTTGAATGGGGGACATGTGCGGTTCGCCTTTGAGGAGTTTGAAGACGGACTCGAAATCCCCAAACAATTGTGGTATCTTTGAAAGTTGCTACTTGCAACGAGGGAATTTCGCACATGCGTCCAGGGACGTCATTGAAAACAGGCCACTAACACACATTCTCAGCAACTCGACAACAAGACCCTCAACCGCCTCGAGAGCTCCATCGCCAAGTCCTCCTACGTCGGCCAGGGTAAGAAGCTCAAGGTCACCAACAATGTACGTTTCATCGCCTTCCCTCCAATCTCCAAGCTGTTCTTCCGAGACCACCTCGGTTCAGATGCTGCGGCTTCAGAGATCTGGTTTACGAAGAAAGCCCCCTCTCTAACTGACAGCTCTTCTTTCTAGGTCAACCCCGATATCGTCGGAGGCCTCATTGTCGAGATTGGCGACCGGACCATCGACCTCAGCGTCTCTGGCAAGATTGCCAAGCTCAACAAGCTTCTCACTGACACTTTGTAAAAACACACGCAAAAACTTTTCATCATACTAGCATGAAGAAATTCTAATCCTCCTTCTCCCCACACCGAACCAAACCTCCCCCCCTTATTTTCTCTTTGTGTGCGTGTGTGTCTATCTTGTAAACTTGACTAGGCGGGGGTTCAGTGGAAAGGAGGAGGAGGAGGAGGGAGAGAACTGTCCGGCTCTTTCCACGTGTAACGACAAAAACTTGCGTGAGACGAAAAAAGCTGGATTGGAAGCTCGGAAAGAGATGATGTTGGATGGCCACTTTTCCCCTTTCCCCCCCCGGGCGAGAGGGCAATTGAGGGGAACGCGAATGAGACGAAAGCTGTGCATAGTTCTGTCTACAATAGAAGCATTCACGGAACCCCTCTTCTACCATGTACACACACGCTACTCTTCGCAATAGGCCCACCTCTGTCTCTGTTCGTCTGTCTGTCTCTCCATGTCTTGAGAACCGAAAAAAAAAGCGACCGATGCATCACCAGCTGTCGGTGTTCGCTCTTCCCTCCCAAAGAGGCAACGCCTACATGTTTAACGTTGATCCTCGCCTTCTGAGACTAATCCAACCACAGTTGACATCTGTTAACCTTATATAACATCTAACGCGGACATTGATGTTGCTTGTTATACTCATCCATAGGATGGTCCATTCTGAAACGAGTTGTGATAGGTAGTGAGCGATAAAAAATCTGGCACCCTCTCATCAGCCTTAGAGAGGATCAAAACTTGCATGTAATCTCTGCCTTCTGAATGTAAACAACATGATTCTAAACACGATCCATGCATAACCCCCCTCCAGAAATATTAACTTTGTATAGTTGCAGTGTCGGTAGAAGCTTCACTCTCTCGATGCCTTTCGTGGCTACATGAGAATCCTCACAAAAGTGAGCCTCACTGAACAAAACCAAAAGTCCTTCCTTGGCTGGCCGCGTTTGACTCTGCATCACAGCGAGGTCATACGACCTTGTGCCACCTCGCTCACCCTAGCAAGC